GCCCATGGACATTAGTTGGTAGCTCCCTTTCGCGCATTCGTAGTCAGCATAGTTGGTATGCCATCAGAGCAGTTATTAACCATTCTGTGTGTGTGCGCGTGGGAAGGGGGCTGTGGCTTCCCTCCACTGCGCAAATCAGGTGGAAGGCTCAACGCATCTGGTTGAGCCTGAGCCGTATCACATACCAACGTGCGTGAGAGACATGGGCGGTCCTGAAGACAGGATGCACGAAGCGGTGTCGGGCATCCCAAGTGGAACGAGGCTGCAACCTCGACATCACGCGGACGCAGCGGAGGACAAGAAGCACCATTCAAGGGGGACTGCTTTTTCTAGGGTTTGATTCGAGGCCATCGCTTGTGCCTGCGACCAGAAAGACATACTTCGACACTTCGTTCGAATATGCAAGGCCCGTGGAGCGTCCACCTGTGAAACTTCAAATACGGCGCTCTCCGTTTCGTTCACAGTCGTTGTTATAGCGTGGTCGAGATGCACGGCTGGCCAGAGCGCGGAGCTAAAAGCTGCCGCTACAAACACGCTCATAGCGTTGCTTCACAGAAAGGAAGCCAGTGCATCGGCTATGGAACAATTGGCATCAACGCTGATGCGATGAACCCTCTCCCAATACTAGCCCCAATCCTTGCCTGGGGCCGGCATCGTGCGCATTGCAGGAACCCGCATCGTCCAAAAATTATCCGGGATACAAAACTCCCCTCGCCCTCACCCACACGCTGAGCGCCTAGCGAGATATGGACAGCCCAGGATGTGGTGCTCATATTGAGGGTATGAGCGTATCAAAGATGTCACATCTTCCTTTGGGGCTCAAACACTATGCCGTTCTAGGAAGCCACAGCATGCAATTGCTCGAGGTTGCTCCCAAGCCGGTCCATTGCACCACCCACAGGGCCCTAGTTAGGGTCTTGCAGTGCTCCGGGTGGTGCCCGGAGCGTTAGGAATGGCATGGAATTACTATGCTATTCCTAACGCTGCCACAGCCAGCAGCCCTGCAAGTGCCTTAGTGCCCAAAATGTTGCTTCAAAAGCCCAGCGATTTAATTGAAGTTCCAAGTACATGAACACGATGCACCACAAAAAATTTTGAGTGCATGGCCTAGGTAATTCCATTTTTGTGCAATGGTACATTTTTGCACTCGTGGCATTTTGTGTATTGGTACATGGTAACATATACAAATTCCCGCTTCCTGCTTGACTTGGTCCATGTCGAGGCGGTTGACACCACCAGTGCACGGTTGCCAGCAATCTGACACAATCTAAACAAGGAATTACATTGTGTGAAGCGGTCATTTTCAAGCGCCTTCAACCCCACTGTTCCAGGGGTTTTGGCGCAGACAACTGTTACAGGGCTTTTCAGTGAGCTCGCCCTCATCTACTGGCACCATCAAGTGAGGTGTCGCAACAACAGGGCAGCTAATAGCCGTGGCAACGAAAATGCACACTGACACTGCATGGCCCACACTGGGATGGGATTCCCATGCCAATAATCCAATGCATTGCCGCGCCACATGATCGTTTGCCGGCCAACGAATTCCAATCGCAATCTGACACAGCGCGACTCCCACAAGCGTGCAACAATTCAACATTCGGATCTCTGGAAGGAAGCCTCGAGGTCTAAATGCGACACAGATATCCAAGTATGAAAACTAGTCGTTCCGAGTCCGTAGACAAGAAAGTAGGCGCATAGCTGCGACGTACCGGGCACGAGCCAATATCTTGCACGTGCATCACAAGCGCTATATCGCAGAACCAAGTAATGCATTAACAGTCCAATCTACACTTCTCTGCGGAGCCCGCACAGGTGCATCCTTTCCTATGTCACAACCTCATTGCCAGCTTCTGTTTCAGCCATTGCACCGGCCTCTGCTTGGATCTCAACCTCAGCCTCTGTCGGGACATCTCTCTCCTGGGACCCACCTCGGCGTCTGCCTTGTTCTGTGCCTCGGTCTCGGCCTTCGCTTCTGCTTTTTCCTGGGGTTTGAACTCCCTCGTGACTCCTGCTTCTCACAATTTCTCGGTGTTCGTCGCGCTGTCCATCAGTGCCTCCGTCAGACCATCGACAGCCTGTGCAGCAACGCATCAGAGAAACGTCTACCTCGGCAGCATTATCACTTCAATTCAACAGCAATCCACTCAAATTTCAACTTCCATTATTATGTCGCTCCAACTGCAACACCAATGGTGTATTTTGTCAACAATGCACTGCATCCAGTGCACTGATGAAGCGCAGTTTTCTTCTGGTGTGACGACCGTGTTTTACGCATTGTGATTCTTTCTCCAGGTAGCATCGTCGTCACTGTGGAAGGGCCGGAGACTGGACTGAAGTGTCTGCCAGGGCCATACACAATAGCCAAGACCTGAGTCCTCCAAAACAAGACACGAATTCAATATCCAAATCAAGCTATTATCAACAACAACGCAGCCAAGCTGGCAAATTGACACATCTAGCGCAGCCTGCATCTCATGGCATTGCCATGACAAGTATCGTTGGACAGGAGCCAGATCAATTCAGGAGCCCGGCAGTCTGGCAGGCGAAGCTTTCCTCACCTGTCTCCACTGTGTGGGGTCGTTCTCGATATTGAGCTGCCTGAGGACGAGTTTGATGTGCTTGCAGTTGCGCTTTCGGATCCTGTGATCGACGCATTGACAGGACTGCTTTGCGCCCAAAGTGACTTTGTAGTGGTTGCCAGTGGAGCCGATAACCACAAACCTGCCAAAGGGCAACACGCTGGGATCTCACGCGAGGCTTTGTGTGAGCAGCACAACAGGGGGCGGGGGTTCCGGTGGTTTGCCACACAAACGCCGTTTTCAAGTGCTGCAGTTGCTGGATGAAACATTTCAACGTGTTCCAACGGGTCAAATTAAATGAGTGAGACAACAGCAGCGATGCAAGGGTGACCATGTGTAGGCAGACCCACAAAACGCATTTTAGGCCTTGTGTGGATTGGGTGTTCCACACAGAACCCCTTTAAAGGCAACTATTCATGCACATACCAGTGCCCAACGTCACCCTTTGGGTGCAGAAGCACTGGCTTAGGAGACGTTGCTACATGAGGATCATGTGGAGACGCCCAAATTGGCTGTGTCCCACACCCCTATTGGGAAACTTCTCTGAGTACTGATTGGCTGTGTGAGCAAGCAAAGGGCATTTGTTGCAGATCATGGGCTCTCAGCTGCTTGCTATGTGCAAGCAATACATATGTTTTGTTAGTTGTTTCTGCCCTTGGACAATTGGAATGTATCTTGTTTCCAAGATACCTTCCAATTGTCCAAGTGACTATGTGCCAAACAAGAGCCAGTTGCTCAGATGTGGGATGCACTACAATAACCACTTTGATGTACTGATTGGCCAAATTTGCAACTTGTGACTTGGTTATCAACAACTCCACTCAGGACAAAAGAACACATAGGAAACCCATACTGTGCAGCTTCTTCTGTGAGATCAACCAGTCCTGAGAGCTCCAGCTGCCGCAAGCGGGCCTCCAGAATGTCTTTGTATTGCTGTTCCTGTAACCCACAGCCAGCCCAACTCAGCCAGTTATCAATGGCCCAAGTCAGCCACAACTGCACAATGGAGTGAATGTGTAGATCTCAGCAACTCCCCAAAGTGAGCACACTGCTACACCTGCAAGCCACATGAATGCTACCCAAGAACAGAATAGGGTGGTCCAAACAGTTCTCTCTGGGACGCAGCACATCAGATTGAGCCTGTGCACTTGAGGAGATTGTGTGCAACCCAGCGGTGGTCCTTCAGGCTGGTTGCCACTAGTGCAGATGCACCTAGGTTTTACAGATTAGGAACAGATTCCTTGTTGTCGATCGCAGTGCACGGGGGGCATGCACTGTACAGTGCATCTCTGGGTGAAGATAAGGAAGGGCTCCACAGCTGCAGATTGTTAACAGAGCATTCCAACGGCATGCTTACAGCAATGCCCTGAAACCGCTCGACCTGGCTGGTCCATTATGCTCCCTTGTGTTCTCACTGCCATGACCATCACGAAGAACTGATCACGAAGAACTGAAGGTGGGACCTATTGACACAGCTACTGCAGATCATGCTCACGTGCCATTTGTAGTGGGTCTCGTGTGGCTTTTAATCACTATTTTTCTAGTAAACATAATGGTCATATTTTCCCTTTACCTTTTTCTGTCACACATCACTTCGTAAATGCACCTGTGGAAGTACACATAATGTGTGCAGATATGTATGTGTGTCTGGTTGCATGTACCATGTGGAATATGCCACATACTCCATTGCATTGCCAGGGCATGGCAAAGAAGCTCAGATTCATATGTGACAGTCATGTGTACTTCATGTACTGTACTTGCAAACATGTGGTTATGAGATGGACTATCAGCATTCACGCACTTGGCTTTGAAAGTCCCAATGGATCCCCACTCCGACAGCAGCAATAGCTGCATCACTTTGGAACAGTTTTCGCATAGAATGCAGGGAATGAGCACTTCATGCAGGGTGTTTCCAAGCAGTGTCCCATCCACTCGTGTCAATTACCCAGGATAGCTCCTGAGTTGCTGTGTGTTTAAGTCCCCACGTTCGTTTTCGGACCAGATCATATGATAATGGTTTCCGAAATTAGGAAATTAAATTGTCCTTTCGATTTTCAGCACCTATGCTATTCCATCCCTGCCGTAGTACCAAACCTCCATCTCCCCTTATAGTCACGATTTCCAGCCCTCTATAATTTCACTCAAATTTGGGATAGCTGTGCCCATTAGGGCATCAAAGAATTTGGGAGTGCATGTCTGACGCCCCTGGACAGCGACCACCTAGGCATATCCTCCTCTGACTAGCATGCTTGCACCCCTCCCTCCCAGTGTGCAAGGCAGAGGGGATGACCAACATTTCCTACTGAGCACACTCACTACCCCACCATCCATCGTGCGCCCTTGTCCACCAAGTGCAGGAATCTCTCTCATGCACAGACTAGTCTAATCCTGACATTCAAGGGTGCTGCCTGCCATACTAGGTCAAACAGGGAAGATAGTACTTGAGCTGCCTGATGGCACCGGATCTTGCTGAATACATGGTCGTCCATCGTCCATGGTCACATCGGTCAAGAAGATGAAGGCGAATCTTGAAAGGCAGTGGCACCAATTGTCAACCTGGCACCAAAACAGGGTGTGTTTGTGTGTGACAAAATGCTATTTTGCTTGGGGTTTCATTTTGTGACCCTTGCTCATGTGAAACCGATTGTTGTTCAGCTACCCTGGCACAAGTTCAGGCCATTTTGGCAGTAGCTGGCGCTACACACAAGCACAGTTGTTCTTCAATGTCCCACCAGACTCAGGGCCACAATCGTTCATCAGCGGAAGCCACATTTCTGAGATGGACATTTCTCATGTATAAGCGCGCAATCCAATGCAAATTGTTCAGCTGTTTGCTGGCATGCTCGCCCTGGGAGAGCTGACCTTTTGTGTTGCTGTGATGAGCAATTTCCCGATGTTAAATACAGGAACACTTTGATGTCAACAATGTTCTTGCTCAAAACTGTGTTGCATGGCTGTTTCCCTCCCCAACATCTCCCTCATCTGACACGATAACTTAATCCCCATCCCCGTTCTTCTCATCTGGCCATTTGGCTAGCCGAATGCAGCCATAAACCTATAATTCGCTACATGAATACCTTTCCTCACCATGAATACCAGGGGCATTTTGAGCATGCACTTTGTTGCTCATGTTGAAATTCATTACTGCTGATCTGGCCATGTTGCCGATTGCAGTCATAACGAATTAATTATTAGAGCAATAGCTTTTCTCAGAATGAATACCAGGGGCCCTTTGAGCCTGCGCTTTTTGGTCCATGGTGAAACTCATCATCACTTTCCTGGGCAAGCCCCAAACTTGCGCATTATATTTTGCAGCGCAGCAATGCTCCTCTTAGCTGTACAACGTGTGATATGTTTTATCCACTGCTTGTGAATACCCAGCATGAACCAGCATGAACACCAGTTGCAGCACTGGTCCTACCCGCTCTTCTGGTGTCAGCAGCTCATAATTTGCAGCCTTGCGCTTGGCACGAACTTTCGTTGGCCCAGTGCATTCCTCAAGGTGTTTCTTGTGCCCACGAGTGAAGACACCGCCGCAGAGCGGACACGTCCCATCGACGATGAACTGCCCCAGCCGCTCCTCTTCGGCCTTGGCTTGAAGTGCCTCCTGTTCCTCACGAGCAACCGTGGCATTTGCCAGCCGAGAGGACCTGCGAGTGGGTTGGTTCCCAGTTGTCGACTTCTCCAATCGAGGCTTCTTGGGGGGTCGCCTGTTCATACCAGCCGCTCTGCCATTGATCTCTGAACATTGTGCCAGAGCCAACTTTGCCTCATACACGAAATGGCAGTGCCAAGCCATGCGTTGACAAAAGCAATCACCAGAAACTATGCTGCCCAGGCCTCTTCTCCAATTGCACTGTGAAGGTTGTCATATAATGGGCCACTGCCATTCTGGCGATGGTGATAGCAACGCATGAAGGGAATGGTACGAAGCTGGTGAATGTACCAAACTGATTTCCGGTCGATGTTCTGTGCCCCCACTGCCCGAACAGCAGGCCAGCCCGACCATAGCATAGGGCAAGTGTCAGTGGACAGGCAGGTCTGTTCCTTCATCCAGCCGTCAGAACGACTGGAGTAGCCAAAAGATAATGACAGCCTGCCATAGCTTGCATGGGAACAGGGCATTGTTTTGCCTCACAATCTAGGTCCAAACATCCATAACCCATAGAGCACAGTCCATAGAACTTTTCAAATAAAATTTGGAAAGGAATGAAAATGTGCCTGTCAGTGCAAATACAAATTTGCAGCAGGAACAACACTGCCATGATTGATGATTGATTGACTGGCACCAATGCGGAACTTGTAGAAGATATTGGACCAGAGATTGTCTGTATGTTCAGGGACAGTGTGGTGTCATCGCTCTAACAGATGCAGTCAACGCATAATTCATAAGCAAATATAGCTTGGCACTGAGAGCCTTTGCTGGTTGAAGTGATGCCTGCAACAACAACTCAGAATTGGGACCAAATCTTCAATTGTCTGAGATTGTGCACAGACCCTTGTCTTGAGGGCAATATCCAGCAATGGCCAAACCCCTGAGCCCTCAAAACATGCAGCTCTCAAGTTCTGTACCTTCTGTGGCCCTTCACCACCTTGTGAGTGCATAGGCATACTGTATCCGATTGGGTATGTGCAATCAAACGCATCACACAGGAGCTCTTAGCCCTCAACTCCAAATCCCTATCATTCCAGCAAGACTGGGGCTCCAATGCCAGATGGGCACACAGAGTGCCTAAGCAGGTGGCAACAAACATCCACAGAATGCGATGCTGCCACACAATTGCATGCAGTCACAAAACAATACTGCCTTGCGGCAGTGTCCCCCCCCCCCCCCCCCCCCCCTTGAGAGTTCAACATACCTGATCACCTCCTGGGCTGTTACTTGTAGCTCGGACAGTGCCAGGTGTACCCCCAATGCCTGCATTTTCTCTCGGTTGCGTGCAATCCTGGTTGGACAGCAAGAAGGGAATGTCACAAAGCTTACAGAACACCAATGTTGCAACCTGTGATCTAGGCCACACCTGCAGAAGGACGTCGTCCCTAAACAACTGCCACCATTCTCTCTCTGTTGTGAATGTGAACAAGGGTTTAGGCAGTGGCAGGGAGTGAGGTTTTTCCAAATTACCACCCGCTTGCGTCTTTGATGCCCTGAAGTGCGGAAACTGCAACACTCCGTAAATGAATCCTTAGGGACATGAAGGACACTGGCATGCACCAATAGGTGGAAGGACGGTGCTTTGTCACGTGGAATAGCTGGATTCTGGGGTTATGCACCATGCCATGGATTAGCGTTTGCTTTCCATTCAGTTTGGGCAGTTGTCAGAACTTGGTGCGAACAGGCTGCAACAGCCATTCTTGCAAACGCTTGAATTGAACAAAGTAGGCGAGGGGCCTGCCTTGTGGGTGCAAAGGCACTTCTGTGTGTGCTGTGCTGCAGTCAGGTGCAGACTTCCACCAGAGATGTGCTGTGGCAAGCTCCTTCTCACACAGATGGACTGGACATCCACCCCAGTATCGGTTCAAAGAGGCAAGAGTATTGAGCTCACAGACTGGCCAGGGGGAGTTTGCTTCCGTCTCAAGTTCGTGGGGCAATCTTTGGACAATCTTTGTGCAATCTTTGGAATCTGTGGCAATCCTTGGACTTCAAGCGGACAATTTTGGCACATAGTTAGGAATGAGATGCGAGGGTGCGGATGAATAGCAGTTGACTGGTACCAGACAGAGACACAATGCAATTAAGCTGTGTAAGCTACTTGATCAACAACAATAGTGCAACGGTCAGACCCATCACACTGAGGCGAGCCTGGCATAAGGATTGACTTCACGGTAACCACAGAAGGCCAAAGCCATTGGAGGCATAATCCTGCCAACATTTGTGGGGAATGGAGAGTGCCATCTCCCGGGAACCAACTGCCGGGTCGTGCTCCCACCTCTGTCAATCCCTAAACGAACACCCTCAGTGGGCTTGATGCTCAGTTTCAAACACCATTCTGCAGTTCGGCATCCCCTATTTCGCTGCAGCAATTTGGCCTCTACCGCACGGAGAAATTCACGCACTCTCCCAAAGAGGAGCAAGGCGAGCTCATTGTAGTTGCCTACGTTCGGCGGCCCTGCTCTCTGTCGGGATCGGCAGGCACTGAAGGCGGGAGCGGCGTCCCAACATGGCGCTCCCGAGTTTCCGGCGTCAACGAAAGCAGCGACGGCCACACGCGGCGCCAGCCGCATGCTTATGCGCCGCTTCCTCTGGTTCAACATGCCCCATTGGTCGTTCTAAGAAATGCCCTCCAAGGGCTTGCCCCTCCCCGCACCCTCCCCCCACTCACAGCCTTTGGCGCTCCAGCTGAAACTCAGTCAGCTGCGCCGGGGCCGCTGGCTCCGCCGACGCCATGGCGCCCGTTGCGAACGCAAGGAGCGCGGCTCAGACAATGGATGCAGGCTTCCTGCCACTCGGCGCCGCGCGGCTTCCTTTTGCCTGTGGCCGCCTCGGCTGGCCTGACTTGTCCGCAGGGGCGCAGCCGATGGTGAGGATGGCTGGGCTTGTGCAATGAGTACGCCTGGGCGGACCGCTGTGGACAGGCGGGAGAAGTTGACAAAATGACGCGCAGGTTCCGTGGGCTTCGGTGAAGCGGGCGGGGCCCTTCCTCCAAAGCAACGTGCTGTGGGCTTACAAAGAACATGTAGGTGCCGGTACCCGTAATTGGGTAGCACAGCAGCCGGCTCGCTCGCGGATGCCCGGTGGAGGTCGTGCGTTCGATTCAGGCCCTCACGGCCTTGCGTCCGACTTGGTCAGAACCCAAGCATTGATTACAGAGCGGCCCAACTTTATATATGCGCGTTCTTGACAGTACTGCCCTCGAAGGTGTTCCCGTTGACAGACAACACTTCCCAGTACAAATCCAGCCATGACGCACGGTGAGGTCATGTTGGCAGGTTCCAACTCCAATGAAATCCCTTGAACTCCCGCAGAATTCTCTAACCCCTTCACCGTCCCCAAAACTGGCATTGCTCCCTGCGCCTTTACCTCTAAGCCACCCTACCTGGACCCGTCCGCCCGCCGGCGTTCTTAAGGTCCCTACCTGGTACCTACCCCACTCCCATTCACTCCCACTTCACTACCCACGACTCCCTTAACTCTCCCATTAAACTCCCACACTCCCATTCTGTAACTGCTCCCCTTACTACAATCCTTCCGAGTCACTAGCAACCTTCACCCGCAAACAAACATTACATTCATTACCTATGGAAGGATAAAAGGAAAATGACACTATCTGTAATATCTCTTTCACTCACAGGTCTTCACAAGCGCACAATGTCTCATCGCATCGCGCTGTATTGTATTGTCGTATCTCAGCATTCCTGCCACAGTGCTACCTTGTCTCCAAAAGGCCTTGTCTCTCACTATGTATTGTTATGGCTTTGAGGGATTGACTCAGCAAATTTATCTGTCACCATATCCAGATTCCATGGTCGATTTTCAATGGAGTTGTGTGTCGACTATAGCAAAGAGACGTCCACGGCAATATCATAGGTGTATCTCTCAAACTTCCACCCAGGCCCTCATTTCCTCACAAGTGCAAAGAACGGCGGTCCATTCTGTCCGTTGCCCCTAGAGATAGCGCAGCAAAGCCACCCTCAAATGAGCAGCTGAGCCATGTCGATAGCCTCAGCACCACAGCAGTTGAGGGTGCACTCAACGAACAACCTTCGCCCCTCGCGCGAACCGGCTCTTCATGAAGAACTGCTTGGCACGCCGACACGACCAACAGAACAGCGGCGACGGCAAGGGGAAGCTTCAAACGGATAGCAAGACCCTCACTGCCAGCCAACCGTGCAAATATGCTTGTAGAACCTCTCACAGCTGCCGCTTTGAGCACCCCAACCCATCGCAACTGCTCCTCAATGGTCGACGATGTCAAAACGGAGGTCAAGTCCACAGGTCAGGGCTACCTTGTTTATAGCACGTCAGAGTGTGACACGGAAAACGCTTCTCTCCGCCTCGACAAGGCTGTGTAGCGACGAAGGGTGGTCACTCCTGGCCAGCAGCACGACCGCGCTGGCACTGTTGGTCTTGAGCGGTAAAGAAAGCGGCTCAGTAAGGCACATACTGGCCGCAACCTTCGAAAAGTTGAGCACTATTGCGCTCAGGTTATGGCGAACGTTGCGCACATGGCTTGGGGAGGCAGGCAGTCAGGCTGAGTGCCTAGATTGCCACGAGAGGCACACGTGAACACCACGCAACCGTTCTTACATCTGCCAGGCCGAGTGCAACAATACAGAGTTCCCCTGGCACTGTCCGCGCCCCTTTGGAAAAATACCCCCATTCCAAAGAGATGCTCTTTTGATACCCGCAATCTTTCTGCCAGGCCCACCGCTTCACCGCAACTCCACCCAGGACGCCCCAGTGCCCACAATCAGCCACCATGTGGTGTCCCAAGGGCCACATTCCCACCAAACGACCATACTTCCTGTGGTCAGCAAACAAGTTATGCCCCACAGGGCATATTCCCATCAAACAACCACGTGGCACCTCCGGTGCCCCTCCTGGCTCCGCCTCACCACGATCCACGGCAGACCACCAGGCAGGCAGCCCCTAAGCAAACGCATGTGTGCAGTGGCAGCCCGGGTGCTCCTCAGTATTGCAAGGCGTATTCAGGGCATGTTTGACTCATGTGTCTCCGTGCGATGCACTGCCACGTATTGGCGTTGTGCTCAACATTTTTATAGTATCTTAATGAACTATTTGGGCGTATGATGAAGTCGCCGTAGGCTATCTTTGTCATCAAAGTTACCTCCCTGCATTTTGAGTGCCTTGCGCTCACAATACTAGAAAAATGTAGCATGCCTGAATGATGACTTGGGGTTTTCCCACCTTATTGAGCGCCAATCCGCTTGGTGATGATCAGTGAGGCGAAGGTGCTGAGGCTATCGACATCCCCTCTACACCATATCCAGAACTCACGGGTCACCAGCTGAGTGATATCATTATTTTACTAACTTTTTGATGAGCCCCATTAATTGGCGACCCGAACACAAGGTTGTGTGTGGCTAATCCCGGCATATCCCAGCTGTTACTCTTTTTCCCCAAAATCCTGGAGCAGCTTGTTTTGAACAAAAACAAGCTGCTCCAGGATTTGGGGGACCAAGGTGTTGTGGTGCCCTGTTGTCTAATAGGCAACAATGTACCGCAACACCATTTCCAAAGTTTCATCATCGTCACCTTCACGCTCTCCCTGGACCATTTTACCATCGCAACACGTGTTGCCAAGATGCATCAACTGGTTGCGTTGGGTTAGTACTAGGCAGCTTAGGCTGTTTTCGCAAGCCCCAACTTGCAGCACCTGGGCCTTTGCCAACTATTGTACACCCAGAAAAACTTTGCGGCGATTAAAGTTTCGCGCATTTGGCGCTCGAGGAACAGCGCGGACATTTTTCCAAGCCAGTTTTTGGCTGCATCAACTTTTTTGCCGTCGAGCTTCTCAACCGCTCTCCCAAGGCACCTTGGGTGCTGGGCGCCCTGTCGTTTGTTTTTTTGCACAGCGGCGACTGCGAAGTGCGGCGTTCTTTGCCAAATGGCAAACGCCGTGAAGGAGCCCTGGGCTACCTGCCAACCGCTCTGCGGCACCATGGGCCGCTGCTCTCCGCCCCAATCTGTCCCTGGTCAAGGGCGTTTCCAGCACCTGGACTCTTCACGCTGCATTCCAGAGCCGCCAATTAACGGCTCGTGCGGCCAAAGCCCATGCACAGAGCGGAAGAGCATGTGGCAGCGCCACGGCCGCGATTTTGCATGATGCAAATTTTCGCGCGGAGGAAGTCTTCGCGAGAATGGAATGTCCACAGAGGAAAAATTTTCGCACACCGTCGAGTGCGCGAAAATATTTCCACACTAATAGTACTTTTGTGAGGTAAGCGAACAATTTTCGGTATACAGTATTGGTGCAGCGCTGTTGGCGTGCGATGGATGTAATGCCAGGCACCGTACCAGTAACGCCCGCGAGTCAAAATTCCAGACCGAGTCGCCAGAAATACCCATTCCACCAACATTCAGGCACCGTGGTATTGCAGACAAGGGCGACGAAACGCACCAAGGCATCTTTACTGGCCATTTGCATCAGTGCCCCTGCACCGCATCCCTTGATCAACGGCTCTCAGGCGTCCCCGGAGACGTGTTCGATGGTCCTTGTGCGAGACATTGTTCATCCCACCCAACCAAGCCTGGCCCGAGAGCGCAGGGCTGGGGCCAATCCGCGTGCCTCCTTGGCCATTCTCAGTGCGAATTTCCCACGCAGCAACGAGCCCCCCTCCAAAACGGGGACGGAACGCCCTGTACGCGCTGTGGTACATGCGCCGTCCGCCCTTGCCGCGCCCCTGTCATGTTACCCCAACGTTATGCCGGCTGATGGGTGGCCCCTCGGGGGCGCATGCGTAGGTGATGCGGTACGAAGGGCCCCCGGGTCCGCCGGACATGGGTTACGTGCGGCGCACGTCATCCCGGTGTAATGGTGCCCGAGGAACACGTCGAGTGTGCTGCTGGCCGAATCCTGTGAATCTGGGCGCACTACTTGTGTCAGCAGCCCCTGGCCAGTGCGCAGTACCCGCGCTGTACCCGCGCAGTACCCGAGCAGTACCCGCGCTGCGCCCTCGCGCGAGCGTCAGCCGAAGGAAGACGCGGGCTTAAGTATTGGAGGCGGCGCCAGCGGAGCGCGGTGGCAAAACCTCTGATGACGCGATCTGGTTGCTCTCTTCGTAAGGCGGGCAACACGCTCCTCCTCCGCCAGGGCTTTGTCGTAAAGTTCGCATCGATCCTCCATCCGAAGTTCACGTTGCGGGGGGCCATTCCGCGCAGGATTCAACGGCCCCAAGGGCCCGCATTTGAGTAATTGGTGTGCGCCAATCGGGCAAGCTGTCGGCATGTCAGCCCGGGCGTCCCGACCCGCCCTTTCACCAAGACGCTCGCTGGCGCATTCGACGGGTGTCACCCTTGTTGCGCTCCCACATATGTGCACCCCAAGGGTCGCGCATTACGAAGACATGCCGCCCGAAATGTCGTTTGATGTCCCGACATGTCCCGCCCAGCCATGCGACTCGACCCATCGAAAGGGGGTTAAGGGCGGGCGCCAGGCGGGGTTGCGCATTATCGGCGTCCAGAACGCCGACCCTCCTCACGGCGGCCACGCCAGTGACAAGTCTGAGACCTGGAGAAGGCCGCCGGCTCGCCCCGCCAGCCGGTCGGACTGAGTTGGCTGCCTTGACGGGAGGGCGCCCACGGTACGCTTCGCAGAATGAGTCCCATGGTTGCCATGTCCTTTGACGCACGCCCGTCATGCTCGGCGATGACTTCGGCTTTACTCGGGGCGCCGGGGGCTGGCGTGGGGGCCGCGGCGCGAAGTCGTGGGCCGTCCGCATCCCCGCGCTCGCCTCCGCCTCAGTTAACGAGTTGGCCGCGGAGATGACCGGTTCGCTCCTTGTGAGTTGGATGGGACCGTTTGGGAACTGACCCGGAGTGAGTCTGCTCGCAGAGCGGCGCGACCGGACCGCAGATGACTGACGCCGCCTGCGGAACGCGCAAGCGCAAGAGGGCGCGGTCGGCGCTGCCGGCAGGTGGGTGGTGCGCGCGCCGTCAGGGGGGCCGCCCTCCCAACCGGGGCCCTCGCTCTTTGTCTGCCGAGCACTCCCGTCCCCCTCGAATTGGCGCACAACGCTACCCAACGTGTTTGTGCATCCAACGCCCGTCAATCCTAAACTGCGACGTTGGGCTGCCGACCGCATGTCGCGACACCTCTCGCTTCCGCCCCGCTCTGGCGAGGGTCCCGCGCGCCTGCGGGGTTTCGGGCACCCCCGCGTCGCGCGCCGGCCGTTGTGCGGCCGTCTGCCTGGTGTTGGGCCCCACGATATCCCCCCCATCATGTCCATGCTGATTGATTGATCAGCATGTTGGCCGGCTAATCAATCGGCGCCGCTCACGTGCTCCTCTCGGGGTCTCGCGGGCTGGGAGTCGCCTAAGGCACCGATTGCGCCGTTGTCAGGTAGTGAGAGTGAGGAGCCGCCCCGTCAGCCGCACTACAGTCGGTAAGGGGGGACACCACGGCACACGGCGCGCTGTCCCGCGCCGCGCGACGGGACGCCGCGAAGCTTTGTTTTCAGCGCGGACCCCACCGTTTCGCGCCTTGCCCGTTCCCAGCTCCCGTACTCATGTGAGTCGCGGGCCTGCCGACATCACAGCGCATCTCCCCCGCGCCCGCCCGCTTGTTTCGCGATTTGCCCTTGCCTCCTGCGCCGGTCGCATGCCCATCGGGGGCTGGCCTGATCATGCCCCCTACTCGCAGCACAGATTGCTGCCTGTGGCTGACTGCGGCCTGCTGCCTGACAGTACATCTCGCCGCGCGCCCGCCCGCTTGTTTCGCGATTTCCCCTGTACTTCCTGCACCTGTCGTATGTCCAGCGGGGGCTGGCTTGATCATGCCCTCCCTTGGAGGCAAAAATACTGCTGCCTGTGGCTGACGGCGGCCGACTGAAACAGGGCCGGGGATGGCTGGGACTCCGCGTGGCCGAATGGCACGGACGGCTCGTGGACCACCCTGGAGGCTGAGGAGCGGGAGGAGCACGTCGAGGGGGTGAAGGTTGGAGGGTGGGGCGGCGCAAGGGGCCGCAGTTGGTGGTCGGGTGCGCGGCAGCGACCCGTTGGGCAGCGCAAGAGGCGGTGCAGGTGGGCGGGGATGGCGAAAATGTGGGAGCCTTTCGCGAGTTGGGATTCGCACGGCGGTGCGCAGGGCCCGGTCCGGGTGGACCAAAGCCGTCACCAGGGGACGGGGGGGGGAGTAGGTGAGCTCAATAGTAAGATTCGTCACAGAAAGATGGGCAGCTCATACTATGGGCACCCCCTTTCAGGCTGGTTTTGGGCAAGTGTACGCGACGCTCGTCTCCATGCAGTGAAAGTGTACGCCAAGGGGACCCGGGGGGGGGGGGGGAGAGATGGCGCGGGTGCGGCTTGCCGAGGGCCCTGCTGCGAGGTTCCGTGCGTTGCCACGCTGGCTGAAGAAGCCTGCGCGTCATCTGGCGCAGCACGGAGCAGAGGCTCGCCGTCGATTTGCTCAACAAGAGGGAAGGCCGGGGGGGGACGTTGGCACTCCTGCTTCACCAGAGAATCACCGATAGCCCTGTTGCATTGTCTGACGCGGCGTCTGTTCCACCCGCCAGACGCCAGAGGCGTCACGAGAGGGGGCACCTGGAGGCGATCGCCGCGGGCCTGGAGGAGAGCTCCCTGCTTCTGGAGGCGGTGCAGCGCGAGAACGCCGTGCTGCGCGCGGACAACGACAGGCTCGAGGCGTTCGTGCAGGAGCAGCGGGATTTCATCCGCATAGTTAGGGAGGGCTGGGTCGGCCGCACGGCGCTGCACCCTGGTGAGTGGCAGGCTGGTGCTGCTGAGTTGGTGCACACGTTCGGAGCGCTTTGCAGTAGGGACTGCGGGGCAGGCTGCTTCTCAAACCGAACAGAGGAAAAGGGTCTTTGACTGGGCATGTGCTTGCGGCGGGTGGGCTCTTCTGCTTGTGTGAGGGGTTTGCCAGTTGGAGCAGCTGGTGTTTCACTGATGTCCAGCCCTCGATGCCGGACTTCGGAGCACAGCCATGTTCCAAGTTTTGCTGCTGCCGCCAGAAAACCTGTTGCGTCTCGTTTGACCACCCTTTGAGTGCCCTCTGAGTGCCCCCTCTCCCACATATCTGACTTGTGCACTTTTTGGCAGTTTCATACGGGAACCTTGCTGCTGGATTAATGTACCCCTCTGTGCATGCTGCTCAACCTGGTCGACAGCCCCAGTGCACCCTGACCAACCTCTACAGCCTGGTGGTCATTCTCCATCGACTTGCTTGCACAATCTGCTGGTGGTATAGTGCGTTATCCAGAAACACAAGTTTTTTGCCAACAGCTTCTGTTATCTGCCTGTGGAACAGGGAACCCACCCTACAAGTACGAAAAACAGCCACGCTGCATCCTGCAAAATGTCCTCCAACACCTGTGGAACAACCAATTATTCTCCAGGAAATACTGCAGCTTGCAGAGTTTGTTAAATGTCAAGATCTGGCCATGGCGACCAGTATGCATGACGAGTATAATGCTCAGATATGCAACTTTACCTGCTGTGGTGGATGCGCAGCACATCCAGCCCAGTAGCTGCCCAGTAGCTTGTTTGAATTGACACTTTGCGTTTGGCACGTTACAGCACAGGCACCAAGCCGTGCCACGTGCTGGTTGTGCTGGTTTGAGTGTGTGTTGGAAACCTTCTGAGACTGCAGCCTGCCCACCCTGTTCGATTCATTGAGTGGGCACATCAACTCAGGAGTATTACCAGTTGGGGACTGTAAACACCACACTGTTCCAAGGCTCTGTAGTCTGGTGCGGCAGGTTGTTTGATTGCAAACTGTCAGCTGAAGACTGGGCATTGTGGTAGGCCCCTAATGTTACCGGCATTGTTACATCTTTTTGCACACATCAGTGTCTTACAACAGCTTGTAGATATTCTGGACCTTGCAGACATCCTTAACTCATGCTCCTGTGTCCACAGCTCATGCCCAATTGGAGTCGAATGTGCTCAACGAGTCACCTAGGGTGCCCCATCAAGACTGCATGCAAGCATGCAGCATTGCAGCCCCAACAGCTGCTGTGGTCGCCCCTGACCCGATGAAGGACATATGGGCCCAGGTCCACGCGATGCGGACCATCCTGGAGGAGAACTGCATCACCTGTGGCAGCGATCGCGCATCTGATGCTGGGCTCAACGCACTCAGCAAGCTAGCGTCGGCTGCCACACAGGCACACATCAGGATGCTGGTGGCTAGGCACCCCAGGCCCTCCGACCTGGCCACCAAGATGCCCCAGGAGGTCCTCGGAGCAGAGGAGACGGCTGTCTGGCTGGATCGTCTGGCCAAGCTGCGCCTCAACGATGCACAGAAGATTAGGATCGTGGACATGAGAGTGGAGCACCTTTCGCGCCTCCGGATGCTGTTTGCAGAGAGGTCATGGCTGAGTGACGAGGTAGGGCATTGTTGTGGCGTGACAGTGACCATAAATGGCAGTGGCAGGTGACTGCAACTGTCAGAATGTGACGTGTTGCTGCCCTTGCATCTACGTGGCATTGTTGTGTGGTGTTGTGAACACAAGAGCTGGTGCCTGAGCGGCAACTACCAGTTTCCACAGAGTTACAAAAAAGTTTGTGGTGAGTATGCGGCAAGGACTGCTGTGGCAGAAGTTAGCATACACTGTTTGTGCGGCAGGGCGGTGTGCTGTGGCCAGTGTTTGATTTCAAAGGGTAGGAACATGTGGTGTTTGTGGGGTGGCTTGGACATCCCTTTTGATTGTGTGCATCAACATTCAGTGTGAATCACTGCCATTTCACCTTGTAGTGCAGCGGCTGGCAAGCGTCCCAACTCTCTCGTTGGCTGGCTAAAAACACTGGATGGAGAGATGCTGCTGGTTGCCCTATTGTCAATGCATGTACCCACTGCTTCCTGAGCATTCAAGACTGGGCAGGCAGCTGCATGGACACCATCATGACAATGTGTTTCACTTGAAGCTGATCGTGGTGTGTTGTGTTGTTGCCTTAGGCCAGGGCGCTTGTGAAAGGATCGAGTGCCTGCCCTCAAGGCTTATCTGATGAACTAAGGCTGGTGTGGGAGAGGGTGAAGGCAAATGTGAGGCAGTGCCAGGCGATCGCCGCCAATGGTCTACGTACCCTGCTCATGGATATACTGGACCCGATTCGAGGGGCACTGCTTCTGGTGGATTCCCACCCCCATGGTGTGGACCCCATGAAGCTGGCTGCGGCCCTTGTGGCTGTCGATGGTGGGTGGGCTTCAGATGCCCATTCCTCGGCAAACTCGACGAATTAGCGGGCTCGATTGCCCATTTCGAACTCCTTCACCGAACCTTTGCACGCAGTACTATTCTCTGCGAAATGCTTGAATGCCATGACGTACTGTGCTTCTCAAGCGTAATAACAACAACCATGTGGGAACCCAACAATTGCTGACAAACCAGAGCTCCACTGATGGACGCATGTAGTGGCAGGAATGGTGTAGCAGTGGCTTCAGTTGGATGCGAGACTTGTGTGGTTCTGTTAAAACCATGCTCAGCATCATCCACGAAACGACGGCATGATCATCGGAGTTAACACAAATGAAAGCCCAAAACTTGGGCTCGGACGTTGGTGGCCACTGCGTTCCAAGATGAGGGTGGCAAATCCCTTCGTACACGCAGCAGTACTCTATGGGACTGACATGCCTTTAACCCCCCTTCGGTACGCGCTCTCACCTCCACCCCAAAGATGGCAACACGCCCATCACAGCAGAATAATTGGCGCTCGCCACTCTCTAAGTAACCCGTGATCACTTCATAATACACACTTCCCGTTCACCTTCGACGGCCTTGACGCTCCATCATGATTGGCACCCGCCATGACCATTGAAGCACACCAATTCCATCACTCGAAACCCATGCAGTCCGACATTCTACATCGTACCCACTGTAAGCTCCATGAAAGGGAAAGCGCACATCATCCATGACCCGAGAGACCACCTCACACCGTAACGCAAGGTCCGCCAGTGACGACTCTGGATTATTGACTCCACTTGTCCCTGGCGGCGAGTCCAGGCGCGCAGACAAATGACAAATCCTTACAAGTCCCTAGGACTTGCCCCCCTCGGCCACTGCCCCACTGGGGTGGACAGCGCCACATTTGTGTATAGCGGGCACAACATGCCGTGCCCACCTCTCATTGCGAACTCACCCGTCCACTCAATCAGAATGTTTGTCTGCCATTCCCCGGCACTTCTTACCCCGCGTCACTATGCATCGTGGCCCACGACCCCTCAGTTTGTGCCCTGCAGCGCATCACCCTGCCCCTTGCGGCACATCATTCTGCACCGCACGTTTCATTGCGCTGCACCCCGTGCTTCATCACGATGCACCCCACGATTCGCCCGCTCCCTCCATGCCATCGGCCCATCAAAACCCATGCCAACGCCAGCCTCACATGATGCCCAAAAACCACCGCTCCATCAGCCCCCGTGGGTGCTGGCGACTGCCGCGATGGCCCTAAGCGCCATCCTTGGTCATGCACTAGAAAACGACGCCATCACAGGCTCTGTCCCATGCCGCCTTGAGGCAAACGGCCAGCGCCCTCATTCAGTGATCAAAACACAAAAATGGCCAACAAATGTTGGCCATTTTGTGGGAACTCAAACACTTCCCTGTTCCTTCATGGTTCCCAATGTTTCCATCCTGTGCATCAGTATTATGTCACATTCCAATAGCCTTCTGAGGTTGATGGCCAAGAGGTTGGCACATTTGAATTCTACAGCAACCCACCAAATGCCGTAATATTCGCGCGGACACGCTATTTCCACAATGGTGGGTACAAATCACGTCTTCATTGGCCACATGCAGTGATTTGGCACCCACAAGTCCAGCGTCCAGCCCTTGTATGGTTTGAATGGTGACAGGCAGTGCAAGCCCTTGGACATTCTTGCAAAGTGCATGCATGCTACACCACTGCAGTGCAATCAAAATGCTACACAACTATCTGCATTATTGTCAGCATTCCACCTGCGTTGGCAGCGCAGGAAGCCCAATGTTTACGGGCGGATCCAGGCGGCCATGCGAAAAACTAGAGACACAACACCCCCGGAAAACTAGACGCAAAGGTCCTTACAGCAGGGTCATACACTGCACGTCACCCATGGGTGACCTGTGAGCATGGCCATGCCCACACAGATTATCTGCCCACAATATGTTCACACAACATGCATGGACCAAGCCCAATACTCGGCATAGCAACAAAGATCAGCGAGTTCGGTGCAACAGCAAAGGGTTGTCATGGGACACGACATCTGATTGGAGAGGCAAGCGGCTGGACGCCCAAGGCCCTGAGGGTCTGACTCAACAAGGCGTGCTTGGAGACAGCATGGGGGATGCTGGCCGGGGAAGGTTGTGGTTGCGTCACACATGAAGGGACAGCAAGGCCCCAAACTTGTCGAGGGTCGGGCACCGATCCCTCATGATGGGAGGTATCAATCTTTCCAGGACTTGCAAGCGCACAATGGCAACATAAAAGAACGAGAGAGGCGTGGTGTCGAAAGGCCTCCATTTGTGACTCCCCTATGGGCAGGTGAATCACGCCTTGTCACTTGTGTTTTGCAATAAGCGTCCAATAATAAGGGCTCCACCAATAACGAGACACACCATTGAGTCTCAATGTACGAAAATGCACACAATGTGCTCCCAATGAACAAGCACCTCAAAGGGTTGAACCACAGGCTGCCCAATCGCAGCACTCTCCTGACGACCCTGACGGCGTATCTCTGATTCAGCTTGCCGCGCAGCGTTGACACGATTCCTACGGGACCGGAATTCAACCCCCATGTTTTCAAGGGGTCCAATACCGCGAGGCATCCACCTTTTGAGCTCAGCACTCACACTGGACAAGAACCCCTTCTCTCAAAGTGGTAGATTCTCAGGAGGGTAGGTGCCAGAGAATCAGAGAACAACAATACCAAATTGATGGCAGCAAGTGGACCGACAATCTGCCAAGAATTCCAAACAACCCACAGAATTGCTTTCTCCAGCTCCAGCTCTGCAGGTGAAGACTCCCCTGGCTCCCTCAAAGTCTCCTTCCTCAGCACCAATAAGTCATCAGAGTACTTCACAATTTCTAGGATGATGCAGCTGCCGATGCACCTCCTTGGCAATTTCTTTAGAACCTTCTCTTGTTCACCACAGGTTCTTGCATAGAAGTAGTCACCTCAGCCTCAATTTCCTCCTCAGCTTTGCCTTCATAACACCTTCTCAGCATTCCTGGAAGTTGTCTCTTGCTGCCTTCTCTGCTTTCTTCGCTTACAGAAAAATCGCTATCTTCACCAGCCACAAATTCGACAAACTCTCTCCAGCTGTCTCTGATCTTCTTGACGTCTTCTTGAGCCAACGGTTGACCAGCTTGGCCTCCAAAGATATCCTCAGGCGTCTCTTTCATAGGTGTTCCGGGTAGGTTCGCAGGTAGTTGCTTCACATGTGGCGTCTCGTCAATGGTCTTCTCTTGAGATCGACCACAACGTCTCCTCACAGCTTGGCGTCCAATCCCTCGCTTCGCAACTGACGTCCAGCGCTGGCCTACGTCACGACTGCCTTTGCCGCCATCTGAAGCTGCTGAAAATTTGTCTAGCTTGTCGCCAGAACCATAGGAGGCCCCTCGAAGCTAGACCATCGCTGTGCACTGGCCGTTGATCAGGAAACTTTTTCCAGACCACTTTGCAGTCAAACTGTAGGCAGCAAAGATGTTGCAAGCCAGCTGCCAGTGCTCCGCCTCGTTTCCTGGCATGACAATGACTCTAAACCGCAGAGAACTTACTCAATAACATGTTAGGAGCTTAGGGGAGGCTCTTGGGTTCTGTGCGGACCCTCGTGGGTTAGTTGAAGACGTCGTACTCAAAACTAACTAGCTTTCGTGCAAAATGTCAGTAAGGTCTGAAAGGGTGCACTTGTGTGCAACATCGCGATTATGGATTTTCTGGGCAAAACGGTTGTGCTCAAGATTGGCCGTCAGAAAACAAGGAAATTTGTGCGCAAAATTGCCATTTGTTTGCTTGCGTTTGCGCGCGTTTGCGCGCGCGGCGCGCGCAAAGGTTGTCCTCCTTCGTGGTCTCCTACGCCCTTTTTCATTAACTACGTGGTTCTGGAATGTTCTCTCCTGACGGGTTCCACTGTGACCATGATAGTATTCCCCAATTCAAGCGGGAAATGCTTGTGGTGCACAGGCGGATCCCCGGCAGATGGCGGGGCAAGGCCATGTTGCACCCACGACTTGTGGGTCACATGGATTGATTGTAAGGTGGTTGTAGGCGTCCTTGGCCAGCACCAAGTTAATTTTTTTTGTGCGAAACATTGTGGTTTTCCTGTCCATTGAGTGACCCAAAAAATGCTCTGTTTGTGTGTAAGTTCATTGTTGTGGTGTGTTTTTTGCATTTTGCTTATGCGCAAAATGCATATTTTGTTGTTTTCCGTGACCCCCTTACCGACATTTTGCACGAAAGCCAGTTAACTCGAACACGGTGCAGCTGGTCGCAGTTGCAAGGTGGCATGGCTGCAATGTCTCGAGCATTCGAGACGGCCTCAACACACTCGGGAAGCAACATACACCATCCCCGCAGCTGCGCACAGCTTGGGCGATCATAGGGTTAGCATCAGTCGCCTTGTGAGGAGTCCCTCATGGTGCAAAAGTGGCCCGAAGCCTTTATGCAACCAGCCATCTGACCCTCTCCCACTCATAGCACCGTCCCTCATCCCACTGAGACAAACAAGCAATTGTTGCAATCTGTAAGTAGCCCAAGACATTTCCTTGTACTGCCAAGGTATCAGAGAATATTCATGGCTCAGCTCAGATCAATGCAGCTTCCAAATTATAGCGGGAAGGTAGTACAATTGCCTGACAGATTTCTAAATCCGTTGATATCAGTTTCCAACTAGCTCAAGACCACTCACCTCTGGTCCAACGTAGGTTGACTCCAAAACCCATCAAATCTTATCAGAAAAATACCACCATATCATTGTGAGAATATTCCACATGACATTCCAACGTTCCCCATAATCCATAGAATCCATACTTGATCTCGAGCACTGCCATGAGCTAATCCAATTTAGTTGAATTTTAATGTTATTGAATCTGCTCGATATGCCCCTCCAAAATTCTCAGGCAATACGACAAGAAGAGGTCAGAATCTATCAGAAGTATCACCCAATTCACCGCTGAGCCGTTCATTAAGTTAAATTCCATTGTTGGTTAAAATTACATTATGCACCGTCATTACCCTTGATGGCTTTGTGGCACCCGCCCAATACT